CAATGGCTTGTCTAGTGATGTCACTTGATGGTTTCCTCAGAGTATGGCCAGCCAATCCATCTCCATTTCCTTCTGCATATTTGTTTCACAATCGGTTCCTGGTTGGTTCGCTCCCAGAGATCCCTGTTGCCGATCTTTTCTGACCATCTGATCTGAGTATTGAGCGAAGACAACTGTTAATGAAGGTCTGTAGTTTGTTTGAGATGCTCTTTATGACGAGCCAAGTCTCTGATCCGTATAGTAGCACTGACTTCACATTGGAGTTGAAAATCCGGATCTTATTTTTGACGCTGAGTGCTGTTGACCTCCACACAGACTTGAGAGTAGTGAAAGCTTGTCTTGCTTTTCCGATCCTTGCTTTGATATCCTCGTCAGTTCCGCCGGCCTGTAGTTGAAACGATGCTTCCCAGGTAGGTAAAAGAGGTTGCTTCTTTCAGGTTCCTCCCATTTATGCTGATTGTTTTCTGTTGTTGTTGTTGCTGTTGGTGGTGTTGCCCAGGGATTTTCATCACCTCTGCTTTCTATGTGTTCACTTGAAGTCCTATCTTTGATGCTTCTTCTGCCAACTTGTTACTTTTCGCTTGCATATCTTCCAGTTTGTGTGAAATCAGACATATATCATCGGCGAAGTCCAGATCCTCCAAGTTTTTTGTGTGAGTCCATTTTATGCCTGTTTCCTAATTGCCCACTGTTTGTCGCAGAAAAGCATCCTAGGCTAGAACAAAATAGCTGTTTTAATGCCATGTCAAATCTTGATCAGAGTTCGTAAGAAGTAAATCGGTACACTTTTCTTTTCAATGGTTCGCCAAATAGTGTCAGTTGGTGATTGCAATCCTTAAAAACTCAAATAATGTGAAAAATGAAAATTCAATTTGTGCATGGACAACAGGTAAATTCAAATTATTATTGATTCACCAACTGTATAATTATTTTAAACAAAGGTTGACTACAGATGGTAGAATGTAATTTTGGACATGACTACAAAGGTGGATGAATCTTTCTTTTTAAAATACAACATACAGCTGTCTATTAGCTAGTTTTTGTAAAATGCGGATAATCCCCTAATTATCTGTAAGATAAACATCAGAAAAATAATTTTTGCTGGTTAAGCAGTTTGTGTCACTTTTATCTTTTTTAGTGGTGTTAGTGGTATCTACTGGCCAGTAACATCTATTAGTCAGCCTGGCTAATTACTTACTACTTTGTGTTCAATCTAAAATATCTTATATTGTTATATAGGAGGGAAATTGCGAGCCTGAAAAGCTCAGTGAAAACATCTCCGACTGCATCACTAGGTGACGTAGGTTCGAATCTCAGAAGGGACATTAGTTACTTCAAGGCTGCAGATATGCCTTGTTCCTGAAACCCAGGTTGGGTTATGCTTCCTACCGATTGCCCCCAATTATATAATATCAGGGGAAGCGTTAGAGAGAAATGTGTTGCCATATACTCAGTCATGCAGCAGCACCGTTAAAGAGGTCCGAAGTTTAGTGTCAACTTGTGATAATCAATATTTTTGTGTTATTGCATGTATGCATGTTGTAGTATGAAACAAGCCTTCCAAGGAAAGCATTATTATTTAGGTATCTTCTCTCGATTGGACACTGAGAGCGAAACTTCCCTAACTAATTTAAAACTATGATAGAAGATAAGTGTTAATGAATATCGTGTGTGAGAACATAACTTCAAATCCTTAAAAGTCATTCAAGTAAAGCTTGTATAAGTCTAAAGGAATTATTGACTAAATCAGTGTCCGTATTATTTAGGTAGTTTCAAAAAGAAAATTAACGAAAAACGCTTGAGATTTAAGGTACAAGGATTCCTCTCATTAGAAGTTAGAAGCAATAGGATTCGATCTAACCTTGTTTTGGACTGCATTTTTTAAATTCCTCTGGGTTCCATCTGGAACGCAAGGCTTTAAGCTTTGAAATATCATTAGCGGTGTTGTATCTCCAGGAAGGTGGTTGCTAACGTCATGCCTGGCCTTCCTTCATTCCCAAGGATATTAATCGCGACTTGGGAGTGAAGGAAGTGTGTCAAACGGGAATCGAACCCGGACTTACACGTGGCTGCCATACTTTCTACAGTTAGACCACTGACACATGAATTCCCACAACGATATATCCACTAATTCAGTAATTATACACTGCTTATCAAGAGAAATGAATACTCAATCTAACCTTTTTCATGATCAGAGCTGCATACAGTCTCACTAGAAAACGATCTACTCTGGTGGATCAAAAGAGTTATCCCCTTGACCATACCAATTTGTGCAGTCTAATTCTCAGTGTGAAAAAACACAGATTAAGTATCGCTGTAAGAAATTAGTCATGCATTTCTTTCCAATTAATATTACTTTTATTTTAGGAAGTATACACATCTTAGGCAACTATTACATTTTTATTCAAGTATTGGTTTGTAGGGATTTGATTGATTGTTTGCAGAATTTCATCATGAGCTGACATTGACCAGAGAACCGTTGGAAAACCTGTGAGTGCTGAACAGCTGTTTCGTCCTAGTCTGGGACTCTTCAACAGTACGCATTCGCCACCAGGGTTCGAACCCAGGACCTTCTGGCTACAAGGCGAGCTCGTATACCATTAAGCCACTGGGACCCAATCCAATGGCCAGTCCATGAATTCTAACTTCTGCCAATTCACGATATAGCGCAACTGCTAGCCAATGTCTTCGACGAGTATTTGTCCTCACACCCAACCTGCTGCACCCTACTGGTCACGACTGCATGAGTAATGCTTATGGTTCTTCTACTTTCCCGGTTTCTTGCTAGTCAATATTCATACTGATGTATCTGAATAAAATTAGTTGTTAGAAGGTCCTTATTGTACGCTTATTGCCATGCCCTGTTAAAATGGATTAACCAGTACAAAAGACGTTATGCCAATCTAGAAAAACTGGAAACCGCTTCAACGAATTACTAAACCCTATTAGAAACCTTTCTAATGTGTTGTCTCGAATAAGTTGTAACTTAATATATTTCTGAGATGCGACGAATGTTATGCTCTTCAAGCATTTTAGCTAATCAAGTCTTACCTATCCAGTTTATCTTTGTGCCCTAAGAAAACAAAAAGAATTTCCGCATAATTGGATTTTGAATAGTGTGAAAGACAGTCGCGTTCTAAAAAAAATCTAAAACAAATGGTTACCGCATCTGGCCATACTTTCATGATCTAAATAACTCAGTTACAGATAAAATATTCATTTTACCTTGTTTTGTAGACATCTAGACCGATTACAAATCAAATAATTCTACAAGTATCCAAAAAAAGCAACAGCCTCTGTTAAGGCGAAATATTATATATTCATTTATTTCACAGTTCATTATTTTAACCGAAACATAAAAATGCTTGTCCTATTCGACGATATTAAATTTTACAACAGACGAAAATATTGAAAGCTGAAGATGTTCTTATTTAACAGTATGTGTACACCACGAAAAAATAAATGTTACTGCATTCTCTAAAATAACTAAGTCAATCATAATGTGCCCAACTGTGTGTTTATATTACTAAATCATATGACTAAATACATAATAATAGTAGTAATGAAACACACCAGGCTACCAACTTTATGAAAAAACACGACTTGATTATATTTCGTTTTAGTAGAAAGGATACTGTGAAAACTTGCCTTTCAAATGACAGAGCATCAAAAACAAGTGAAATTAAAATTAAAAAATGAGTCAGGCACCAATTATCACTGCGTGAGTACAACTTTTATAGACTTTCTGTTTTACTCAGCTATAACCACAGAAAATCTGGTTCTTATCTTATCTATTGGCGCCCTTTTAAAATAAATTTTTAGACGCTCAAAAATATTTTAAATAGAAATAAATCGGTTATTTTGAGATTATGAGTTTTGTGGCGCTATGTCGCGAATTGGCAGAAATAAAGAACTATAGGTCATTAGAATCAAACTCATTGGCTGATTAGTCGATGAGCAGGCCTCGTGGCCTAGTGGTGCTGGACTCGACTCTGTTTTGAGTTTAAGATGAACACTGATGAGGATTGTCAAACTGGGACGAAACAGCTGTCTAATACTCATCACTTTTCAGTGATTCTCTAACTGTTGTTGGTTTGTGTGATGATCTCTATTTTAAGATATATTTCTTGCCAGTTGTCAACCTAATAATGATTCCAAAGTATGTAAAATGTGGAGTTTGAAGAATGACGTTATTCTGTCTTAGATCCAACTTTTAATGGAATTTACCGGCTGTTTTGTTAAGGGAATATGATACATAAATGCTGAAATACAGAAAACTGATAAACTAAGAGGAATGCAAATCTGATCATGAACAGTTATTAGGTTTTCGAATACTACTAATGAAACCTTGCACATCTACCATTCAAGCGATGACATCAGATGGATTTTATGAGTGACTAATGTAATAAAACAACCAACCATAAGTCTTATTTCTAGTGCTTGGTTTAGCCTCTTAAAAACTCACTTTTAAGTTATTCAACACGTATGAGTCGTTATCTTTTCTCCAGTTCATTACCAAATCGGTGAGCCAGAGTAGAAAACTATTTATTATGACGGCATTAGTTGTAAAATCACAAATTGAGAGGAAAAAAGAAGCCAGACGAGACTTAGTTTAATGAAATAAATGACACTATTAAGCAATTGTGACCTATTTCGTGTGACTTGACAAATAGACTAGTGACACCTTATTCAACTACTTAAATGAAAAGCATTTGACATGAATTCCTAATGAAATGTAAAAAATTCCTGAAAACTCTGAGATTCACCTAAATGCAGAATATCCGGTATTAGAAAACTTGTTGGCGACAGAAACCTGCCACAGAACTTATGACTGTATACTTGAATGAACATTACGCTGACTGTATTTAATGTGGCTTTAGTTAATCCTAAGTACCAGAGCCCAGCAGCCTTCTTGCTTAAGACAAGCTTTACAGATTTTGATAGATAAATGGAAAAAAGATTGATTTCAACAAAAGTAATACTTAAGATTGAAGACTTACCAGGTGTAGGTGCACATTCGTTTGTGTCTGCAATATGATTAGCTTCCAGTGTACTAAGTCTATTTGGATTCCATGACCAATAATCATCTTCTAGGCTTAGACTACTACCATCATCTGATCCATCCACTTCATCTTTATTTTCACGTAGTTTTCTAGGTAAGAAAGCATCGTCATCAATATATGGGACGTCATAAGTGCCTTCAGGCATGCCTTCTTCTAAACTTCGAACACTTATACTCTGATCCACCTTAGATGGTGTTACAGAGTCAGGATACAAATAATCATCATTCACTGACGGTTTTGGTTGTGGACGCCGTTTACGCTTAAATTCATTTCGCTCCAGGGTAACAGCTCTTTTCTTATCATCTCTCGTTGTATCTATATACGAGTATCTGTTCACATTGATTTTAGATTTATTGAACCTGTCTAGCGTTTTAGTTCGTCTCGATCGACTATCTAATTTCATTTGTCTGTCAAATGGTAAATATTTAGCAATAAGTTCAGCATAACGCTGTTCAAATTCTGTTCTCTGATCCCCTTCTGAATTTAAACTGATTTCATCAACATCAGTAGTTTGTTTTGAAATTTTCGCTTTTACTTCTGATCCATTCACTGGTGTAGTTGCCTCCAATTTATTAAAAGACCCCTCAGTACTAATAGGAGTTTTGCTGTCATAGTCACCATTTACCACTGCATAATTTGGTTCGACAGTTGTATTCAATAAAACTTTTTCTTGGACACTTTCATTGATAGATTCATATTGCTGTTCATTATTTTCATCTGTTAAAAATTCTTCAGGTAACTGATTATAATATTCTTCCTTATTCTGAATATGTGCAGTTAGTTTAAAGGATTCCGGACTGTCTTCGAGAAGCTCAGTTGTTAGTAACTGATCATTCACGTAATGATCAGATGCAAGTAATACTGCACTGTTGTCGTGAATATTTTCCTCGAATACTTCCTGCGTCGACTGCTGTTGTATGCCAGTTGGAATGATTTGTTCTTCGGAGTCTTTGTTATAAATGAAATCAGTGTCAGTTGTTGTTGGTATCACTGCCTCTTTTATACACGCAAAATCATCTCTAGAATGGCTTAATTGTTCTTCTGAATTTTGTATCATCATCTCTGGAGCATTATTTTCATTGGCAAATGTAGGTAAACAGACGTCGTCTGCACTGTTCTCATTTATATGGTGAATACTCTCCCCTGACGAAATAATATTTTCATCTTCAACTACGTTAGAACTCTGTTCGTTTTCTCTTATCTTCTCATGACATACTTCTGAAGAGGTGGCATTCGTAAGTTCTTCTTCTATGTCTTGACTGCGGTTAGGTGTTTCCTGGATTTCAGTGAGATGTGTCTCAACTGAAGGAGATTCATTCCCTTCCATGCAGATTACTGATTCTTCAATAGATATGGGTTCTGACTCATTCAGTGCATGTGATTCCTCATGTTGATCTTCATACTGTGCTTCTTCATACTCCACCGTATTTTCAGCTTCAGCTGTATATGATGTATCTGTGGGAATAAATGGATCCTCAACATTTGTTCCTTCCACTTCGGTAACTTTTTCAGATGATGTACTGTCTAATCTTATATCATTACTACTGTCCACTAAATAGTCATGCTGGCTAACAAATTGTTCGACATCTTGGGAACTTGTACGAGGCAAGAAGTCACTGTTATCGTTATTAAGAGTAAAATCGTTCGTTTCGTGGTGATTTTCATCTTCCTGAGGTATAGAATACTCGGGTGCATGTGTTTGTATTTCTCCGTCATTATGTTTAATTTCTTCATGCTCAACTAGGTCGTCAGATGAATCATTCGTTTTCATTTCTGAGTTGCTTATCTTAAGTCCTTCGAACTCCTTGAGTGCTTCATCAGTTTTTCCTATTGTCTCGCCCATATTAGCTTCGACAGAATGTTTCTCTGAAGAGCTAGGACTATCTGAGTGGAAACTGTTTTGACTATCTTGAGTGTACTCCCGTTGAGAGAGAAACTGCACCTCACCAGTTAAGTGTTCTCCTGTTTCAGGAGGTACAGTCACCTCACCAGTTAAGTGTTCTCCTGTTTCAGGAGGTACAGTCACCTCAGCAGTTAAGTGTTCTCCTGTATCAGGAGGTACAGTTTCACTAGGGGTGTGTGTCGCTGAAATAGTAGATGCACTTTCGTGTTCAGGTGTTATGTCGTATACCTGGTCTACGTTTAGGTCTGTATCATAACTGCGAACTATTTCAATACTATGTTCCGGCTTTACTTCACTTTCTGGCACATCATATTCGATCGTGATTCTAGAACTCTTTCGTCTCATATCTATTGAAGACCCTTCGTTATCTAAGGTATCTGCGCTTTCATTATTAGATGAAGTAAGATATATGCTTCTATGGACACTTTCAGGATCGCCTTGTTCAACAAAGTTGTCACTGTTGTTTGAAAACTGAGCTATTCTTTCATGTTCAAGTGTAATCACTCTTTCAGTAGGCGTTTCTGAAGATATTTTATTAGCGCTTTCGTCACTGAGCTGATCAGAAGTGTCTAATTCCTTTTGAATTATCACGGATGTGTACAGATTCTCGTGAGAAGCATTCGCGCTACCCTGAACATCTAGGCTGGTTTCTTCTTTGCCCACCACACTATCAGCACTCACTTCGAAGGTCTCCTCAGTCACTATCTCTATGCTAGACTTTCTTGATGATGCTGACAAATTCTTTTCAGAATCTGTTGGGTTATTGTCATCAATATGAGAACTATTCACTTCCTCCATTATTTGCCACCAGTTATTAAGGAGTTAAATTCTGTGCAGTAATTGTGTTTCGTTAGTCCACTGGACGAATTTGTAAATAAAATCCGGTTCAGTATAAATAATTCAAATAAAATTATATATATTCCACAATTAAATTATTCCACTTGTTTCAGGCATATGTATATAATTCCAGTTTAAAATATTTCACATGAATAGGTTTTATAAACATTAAGAAACTAGTGATAAAAATCACTAATCTGTCAATAATACCAGTGAAAACAATAAATAATAGTAGTAATAGTATGTTCCAAATATATTTAATTAATAATAATCATAATAATCAATTGGAATAGTAAATTTCATTTTTGTGTGTGGTTTAATCGTTTTCATTTCTCTGTAATCTGATTGGTTCACTATTAAATGGCCATACGAATTGAAACATTGAAGAGAGCATGCTGTGTTTTATTGTATTAATTAATACATAACATGTATGTATTTCATTTTTTTGTGAATTCTACTCTTAATTCCATAATTTCTATTTGATTGTTACAATTCAAGAGGTATATATTCTGTTATTTTTGTTAAATCAGACAAAAATTAGCGAATTTCCCGCGAGCTTTACAGTTAGTTAGATATTGGTTTATAATTTTTACATTGCTAACCAAAGGATCAATAAAATGGCTTTTTAAAAAAGAATCCTTTTATCCAATAAGAACAGAGCAAATCCTACTTGACTACTCTTAACAATTTTCTAACCAATTAGGATGTTATAAAAAAGAGTTTGTTTGAAGTTGATTGTTAACGAATTCTTGTTTGAAGATATCACTCAGCTTTCTACCATTGATACGTTCAAATCATTATAAAATTACTTAACATAATTCCAGTGTGTCTACGAAAGTCATGCAATACTGATCAAGCATTTTTCTGAAATATCTTGTTTGGATTCTCTAAACACACTGGGATTGTTTTACTTAATTTTATAATGAATGAATCTGAATCTCCATTAAAGTTATTTCAAGAAATTCGCAATATCAGGGGTCTGGATATTTCTAATACCTACCAGTGATAATTCTCATTCCTCTGCCTCCTGAGTGAAACATAGGGCTTCAAGAGTTGAGCTCTGAAGCTTCAGTATCCGTGGGATTCATTTTACACAATTTCCGGGGGGGGCGGGGAGGATGGGTAACCCCACACTTAAACTTCCCTTTTTGTTGTGTTTACTCCCTACGGAGTAGTAGGTAAAGTTTAGCAATGCGTCAGCAGGCGTCGGTGGCACAGTGGTTAGGACTCTTGCCGACCATGCACATGGTCCGAGGTTCGATCCCTCGCCGACGCACACCTGATATCTATGATCAGCCTGCTAAATTTGGGTTACCGATATCACATGCTGAAAATTTCATACTTGTACCAAAATACTGTGTGTAATCAAGTTAAAATAAAAAAAATAAATAAATCACACTTGAACAATGTGCTTGGTTGGCGAATGCTCTGCCATTCAACCACTGAAGTACTTTAAATGTTTGACACTAAATAATTAGAACATAAATATACTTTTCTTTTTAACACAGACAACATGCAATCTGAATCTTACTGAAAAGTTCCTGAAGGCGAGGCAGTAACTCAGTGAAGAAGACACTGCAAAGTGGTCACACTGTGTCATGAATTGACAGAAGTTAGAATTCATATGCTGGCCATTGGAGTGGTTCCCAGTGGCTTAATGGCCTACGAGCTCGCTTTATAACCAGAAAGTTTATTGGTTCGAACCCCAGTGGGTGCGTACTGCTGGAGGGTCTCAAACTAAAAGGGAGGAAACAGCTGTCCGGGGACTGCCAGGTTTTTCAGTGGTTCTCTAACTGATGTCAGCTCATAATGAATTCTTCCAACCAATCAAATACAATCCCTACAAAACCAATACTTGAATAAAATGTAGTCTGCATGACTGTATTATCACTGTGTAGATCGGTCAACTGGTAATGTGGTTAACTGACTGCCAAAACTAGTGGATGCGACGTCAAATAAGCAACTTATTTGCTGGTAAGATATTTAAGAGCTTAAACCCAAAAGTAATAACCGTAAAACACATTTTCCGGGTGGGATATAATGTTCATAAAGGAACTGATCGAGAACAACAACTTCCTAAGTCTTATGAGATACTTTCCAACCATTGCTTGTTGTGGTTTGTGAGTCTATTATAAAATCCGAAGAAATCGTAAACATGTAGGAAATCGTTTTAACGTAAGCCCATAATCGTCGATCTATTTGTTTCAAGTTTTAGTAACTGATTGATTGAGCGGATTCTGGTAGCTGAGTGGTCTAGGGGCTTGCCTTGTAGCCGAAAGGTCCTTGGTAAGTACTGCTTTTCAGCATTTAATAGAATGATCTAATATTTTCAAGTCTTCGTGTACCATTTTCATTCCTAGAAAGATGCTTCTAACCTTCTAAGTCCAGAAGTCAATACAATCTGGTATCAGTCACTCTCTACTTTTGAAGTGTATTAGATTTTGTTTTCAACCCATTCTTCTTTATTACGTCCTTTTAATCTTTCCTGGAATACTTAAGAAAGATCTAGTTACACTACGAATGGAACTAATAGCTGTTAGCAAGGCGAGCTGGGTGTCACCAGACCAACTCGTCAATACTGTCAGGAATTGGCGCTTGAACTCATTCGGGAAATCACAGAATATCATCTTGTCGAGCTCTGAACACTCTCTTTATATGCAACTCTCTCCCCGAATTTTGATAGTTATCAGTAGAAGTAATTAAATGTTCGAACGACCAAGTATAAAAACTGATCAATACTTTATTTGACGTGAGTTTTATGTTATGATATGGTGTGAAAAGTGTTACAAATGAAGCTTCTTACTATGAAACAGTAAACAAACGATATTTTTTAATTCCTCCTATCATTAATATATTGTCGTCACCATTTCTATTAATTTATAATTTTAATTTCACACTAACGGTTCATCAACATTATTAGTAATACAAATATTTCTGTTAATTGTCTTCCCTCTTAATAGGTAATACTAAGAGAAAATAAGATATCATGTCGCACTATAAGCTGAGAGTTCTATATGGTATCAGATGTACTGTCTGGAATAAAGTTTAATAATAGTTTTTTATTTTTCAACGAAATTTTGATAAGATACACTCGACCAACCAACCAAGAGTCGATTGCTCAACAAATTTGCAGAAGTAAATGAAGATGGATCGCGAATACATTGAGGAAACCGTGAAATGACATCACGCGTCAGGCCATCGCTGGAGTGGAATCCCAATGGGAAGCTCACGAGTGAATCGTCCTAAGGTGACATGGAGGAGATCGTATGAGGAGAACCTGAGGGATTATGGGCAATCGTAGACCCAGCTGAAGAAGAATGCTGAAAATAGAAGAAAGCGGAGATGTGTTGTTGAAGTCCTATGTCCCACAAGGAACCCAAGGGAATGATAATAATAATAATAAAAGTCAACTAACACTCTTAGTATAAAATGAATCTGCATTTATTCTGTTAACCATATCGAAATTACTACATACTGACAACAAGTTTATTTATGTAGACAAAATAGTAAAGTGCAACTGTCTGTAATATATTACACAATGGTGTTTTAGTTATTCAATGCATAAATCAGCTTATATTGATTTTTAATATTTTTAAAGATATACAATGCGCTCTGCAAAATGAATAAACTGATAAAGAAAAATGGATGCAAGCGCATCTTACACTAACTTTATTCTTTGCTTTGAATTTTCCGTAGCAGTGGTGTAGCTTCAACGGGTTGGAGTTTCTAGTCTCACGCCCAACCTCTCCTATCGTACTAGCTTACTACGAATTAGTAAACTTTTCGAGATTTAGGAGTACGTTAGTCAGAAGTTGAATACGGATCATGTGCATTGTTGGCGAGCATCCTACCACTGAAGCACCGACGCACAGATTTTTTGCTTGCTAAACCTCAAAACCTGCGGTTCACCGGAATAAGATTAAGCCGTTCACTGTATTCAACGTATTGCTCGGAAATGTGAGTAATTCTACTGAATAATCTGTAGCCTATTGAGCGAAATATCCCGAAAAATCTTGTTTAGAGTTTCCAAACACTTTGGGTTTATTTTATATTATTTCTTATCGATGCAATCTCACTGGGCACACAAATTATTCCAGAAACTTCCCCATATCTCTAATCTGGTTATTTATGATAGATTCTGCATGCTGAAAACGTACGATTATTATAGCTCAGAAATAATTAGCAATCACGATGCAAAGCACCTAGTTTAAAAAACTTAGGGTAGGTAAATAAAAGTTAATTCTTGGAGAACCTAGTAAAAGTATTGTAAGCACAGTGTTGTTCAATGTTTGTGTCACCTCATCCATTCAAAACTTCTGACTGTCTTACAGCTGATACTCTCAACGAGTGGAGAAATCTAAAAGCTCACTTCAAATCGAAGTATGCCCTGAAGATGTTGCCTAGTAGGGCAATGAAATCTTCGCAAATAAACTATCCAGCTCAGAGAACACAATAACATCAAAATAATCCACCTGAACTACAAATCTTATCCATCATGTCTCAACTCTCATCATTTACAATCTAAGAAATCATGACAACCTACTTGGTATAGAGCATTGTCAGACATGCATGCGGTACAACTTCTTCTTCAATAAGTTTTCAGTCATTTGGAATAGACTGCCAGCTAATGTGCATGATACAAACACATTTCCAGTGTTCATCTCAGTCACCAGACTGCTCAGAGATGAAAATGCACTCCTCCGTCTGACTCCTACACCCTCTTTTGCACATTACATCGATATTTTAAGTTCATTAAATGTATCAGTTACAACAAACTACAATCCTAAACACCATAATTTTGAAAATACGTCTAATCATAAAATTATAGATACTAACAGTGTGAACAGACATGAAGGTGTGATGTTAGCTGATGCATAGGAAATCCTTATTAATAAATAAAAAATGGATATGTATCACTAATTATTAATACTTGGTCAAAATTCTCGACTGTCCATATCTTCTTATGGAGACGTTAAGAAGTGTTTGACAACTTTTTACCCACACACACATACACACTCTGTTTAAAGTGTTTAACAAAGGTAGACCAATATTTGTAAGTCCGAGGTCAAATTTTGATCACAGCTCATAGAATTTTGTTTATTATACTTGTTGAATGACTCATGATCGGACAAAGTTTTTAAAAACAAGTGATGTTCCTTTTATATATAAACCCCTGTTATGTTAATTTCGATTAATTTCCCTGAAGAAGTTCGAACCAGATTGCCGAACACAGAAAACGTTGGAATTACTTATTTCAATCTCGTTGAGATTTCACAAATATAATTTTTGACAAATGTCTACTTCTCACTTGGCGCCCAAATATTTTAGAACTATTCTGTCAAATCTTGACGACAGTTCATTTGAATACAATTAAAACTGTTAATAGTATTGGAAGGACATGACACATTTCTACGCAGGATATTAATATTAGTTCACACATAATATAAAAGTTAGCATTACAGGACTAGTTAGTTAGTTAGTGTACCAAAATAATCATATTTGGTTACAGGATTTCATCATGAGCTGACATCAGTTAGAGAACCATGGTTGGTCAAATCCCTACAAACCAACACTTGAAAATAATCATAGTTGC